ACAGCATTTGTTCTCCTCTGCTCTTCTTATGGAGAATAAAGCCAACTCTACGTCTATTAGAATGAATGCGATAGCTACCCAGAGAGAAAAAATACTCTATGGCTCCCCAATCTTGTGGTACAATTTTAATGCGAGAAATCTTAAGACAAGTAAGAGAAATTAGCTTGCTCAGCACACTTATTATAATAAAGACTTAAATGAATAAATACCACCAATTCTGTAACATTTTATATGTACAAATATACATCACATCCTATCATAGGATATAAATCATAGATTACTGCCTTAATCAATAAGCACTATCTGTATTTCTAAAATACTTAATATAGGGGCTGTGCATGAGCTCATGCCTATAATCCCAGGTACTCAGGAAGCTGAAATCTAGAAGATCACAGTTTGAGGCCTACCTGGGCAAAATGTAAGGAAGATACCAACTCAATAAACAAGCTGAGTATGGTGGTACATGCTTGTAAGCCAGTTACACAGGAGGTGTAGATAAGAGGATCACACAAAGGCCAGCCCAGGCAAAATGCAAGACTCTATCTGAAAAATAATCTAAAGCAAAAAGGACTGGAGGCATGGGTCAAATAGTGGAAGTGAGGCAGGCTAGAGTTAGGGAAAGTTTGGGACTCATAGAAGAGTATTGCATTTTAGAATAACCATTCTCTGGCCCCTTCCCACTCATCAATTATTGGATGGGAATCACTTGGCTCCTCCTTTTCCATAGGTTAGTGTAGGTTTTAAAATCACCTGGAGAAGAGAAGCCCACTCTTGGCCTCCAGATTCCACTTGGACCACACCAAGCTCCCCTTTGTATTTCCCTTCCCTAACTTTTAATAAACTCCATTTACACCCATGTGTCCTGCCATGGATTCCTCTCCAAGGGACACAAAGAATTTGGAAGTCTTCTGATCACAGATTCCACCCCGCTGGCAACAGAAGGGCTAGTCTAGCAAACAAGCACCAGGCCCTGAGTTCAAACCCCAGTACCACCAAAAAAACGAAAAACCTTAATATAAAAAAACTAATGACAGTTGTACATGATGCATTAGTATTGTCAATTATCCATTTGGCACAGCACCCTAACAAATAACACTCCTAAAGAATGCTAATACAGTAAGCTCAAATAAGGGTTTCTTTAATTGGTTCTAAGGTAAGTGTATTGCCTTGCAAGCCACTTAGTCTTTTTTTTTTTTTTAATTGTGTCTTCCCATTCACTTGGTCATTTAAAAAGATTTTTAATCTTTTTAAATTTAAGAAGATTAAATTAAAGATAAATTAATTAATTTTAAGATAAAATTAATTTTATCTTAAATTAATTTTAAGATAAAATTAAATTTTTAAATTTAATTTTAAGATTTAAAAAGATTTTTACTACAGAACTCAGAAGGTTAACCTCCATAGTTTTGAAAACTTTGGGGATAAGTGTTAAACTCATATTAAATCATTTAACATGTTTATTTTAACATCATCAAATATTATTGACACTTCATTTCTATCATATCTTGGGTAACCTAGATGTAAGATCTCAAGCCTGACATTTTTTTCTGAAAAGAGAAAGAGACAGAGGAAGAATGGGAAAGGGTAGAAGGGAAGGAGACAGAGAAAGCAAAAAAGAAAGAGGGGAGAGGAGGAAAGCTTTTAATAATTAAAAGGAGACAGATTTCTTTTTTCAAGGGAAAGTAAAGTCTCATAAATACTAAAAAAACTTTACTCCACCTTAAAGACCCAAAAAACTCTACCCAAAAACTCCTAGACATCATCAACAGCTACAGCAAGGTAGCAGGATATAAAATCAACTTACAAAAATCATTAGCTTTTCTATACACTAATAATGAACAAACTGAGAATATACAAAAACAATTCCATTTACAATAGCCTCAAAAAAAAAAATCAAATACCTAGGTGTAAACTTAACAAAGGATGTGAGCAACCTCTACAAGGAAAACTATAAACTTCTGAAGAAAGAGATTGAGGAAGACTAGAAAAAGTGGAGAGATCTCCCATGCTCATGGATTGGTAGAATCAACTTGGTAAAAATGTTTATACTCCCAAAAGTAATCTACATGTTTAATGCAATTCCCATCAAAATTCCAATGACATTCATTAAAGAAACTGAAAAACCTACCGTTAAATTTATATGCAAACCCAAGAGGCCACGAATAGCCAAGGCAATACTCAGTCAAAAGAACAACGCTGCAGGTATCACAATACCCAACTTTCAAACTATATTACAAAGCAATAACAATAAAAAACAGCATGGTACTGGCACAAAAACAGACATGAAGAACAGTGGAACACAACAGAGGACCCAGATATGAAGCCACACAACTATAACTAACTTGTCTTTGACAAAGGCGCTAAATATATACGATGGAGAAAAGACAGCCTCTTCAACAAAAACTGCTGGGAAAACTGGTTAGCAGTCTGCAAAAAACTGAAACTAGATCCATGTATATCACCCTATACCAATAGTAACTCAAAGGATCAAGGATCTTAATATCAGACCCCAAACTCCAAAGTTGGTACAGGAAAGAGTAGGAAATACTCTGGAATTAATAGGTATAGGCAAGAACTTTCTCAATGGAACTCCAGCAGCACAGCAACTAAGAGATAGCATAGATAAATGGACTTCATAAAACTAAAAAGCCTCTGCTCGACAAAAGAAATGGTCTCTAAACTGAAGAGACCACCCAGAGAGTGGGAGAAAATATTTGCCAGCTACACATCAGACAAAGGACTGATAACCAGAATATATAGGGAACTCAAAAAACTAAACTTTCCCAAAATTAATGAACCAATAAAGAAATGGGCAATTGAACTAAACAGAGCCTTTTCAAAAGAAGAAATTCAGGTGGCCAAAAAAACACATGAAAAAATGCTCACCATCTCTGGCCACAAAGGAAATGCAAATCAAAACCACACTAAGATTCCACCTCACCCCTATTAGAATAGCCATCATCAAAAATGCCACCAACAACAGGTATTGGCGAGGATGTGGGGAAAAGGAACCCTCACACACTGCTGGTGGGAATGCAAGCTAGTGCAACCACTCTGGAAAACAATATGGAGGCTTCTTAAAACACTAAACATAGATCTGCCATATGATCCAGAAATCCCACTCCTGGGGATATACCCAAAGAAATTTGACACAGGTTACTCCAGAGGCACCTGCACATCCATGTTTATTGCAGCGCTATTCACAATAGCCAACTTATGGAAACAGCCAAGATGCCCCACTACTGACGAACAGATTAAGAAAATGTGGTATTTATACACAGTGGAATTCCACTCAGCCCTGAAGAATGAAATCTTATCATTTGAAAGTAAATGGACGGAACTGGAGAACATCAATCTGAGCAAGGTTAGCCAGGCTCAAAAGACCAAAAATCGTATGTTCTCCCTCATTTGTGGACTTTAGACTAGGGCAAATACGGCAATGTGATTGGACTTTGGTCACATGATAAGGAGAACGCACACACGGGAGGTATGAGGATAAGTAAGAAACCCAAAAAACATGGTAGTATTTGATGTCCTCAATGCAGAGGAACTAATGCAGAAACTTTAAAGCGACAGAGGTCAATAGGAGAAGGGGATCAGAAACTAGACACAAAGTCAGTTTGAGAAGAATCAACTTAGAATGTAACACATTTGTACACAGAAGCAAGGCTAGCAATCGCCCTGTATAGCTATCCTTATCTCAACTAGCAAAAATGCTTTGTCTTTCTTATTATTGTTTATACTCTCTCTTCAACAAAATTAGAGATAAGGGCAGAATAGTTTCTGCCTGGAAGCAAGGGGATAGGGGAGAAGATGGAGGGGGTGGGAGGGTAGTGGGGAGTAACGGCCCAAACATTGAATGCACATATGAATAAACGGAAAAAAAAAAAAAAAAACTTTAGTCCATGCCCTCAGTCAAGTAGTTACAGAAAAAGACTTTTCAGAGTCTTTAAGATTTTTAGTCTACCTACATTTTATAAACAGCACTTTCCCCAAACCAATTTTAAAAGCTATAAATTTGTGTCTCTAATGTAAAATACCTTTGGATACTTACAGCCTTATTAGTATCTAATCATTTAGTAGAAAATTACAGATGTTAGAAATAAATTCAGTATAATTAAAAATTGATTATAAATGGTACAAACACTATCATCAAAAGTATGACAGTTGCTCAAAAAATGGAAGATATAAGCCGGGTACTGGTGGGTCACACCTGTAATCCTAGCTACTCAGGAGGCAGAGATCAGGAGGGTTGCAGTTTGAATAGTCCGTGAGATTCTATCTCGAAAAAACTTATCACAAAAAAGGCTGGTGGAGTGGCTTAAGGTATAGGCCGTAAGTTCAAGTCCCAGTACAGCCAAAAAAAGGAAGATATATTTACCATATACCACCATTCCACTTCTAAATATAAACTCAAAAACATTTGAAAGCAAATACTCAAAAAAATACAGGTACACTCATGTTCATAACAACAATTCTTATAACTAACAGAAACAATTTAAATGTCCATCAACAAATGGATGGAGAAACAAGTGTGGTAAATGCATAGGAATATTTTTCAGCCTTAAAAAGGAATGAGATTCTGACACATACTATAACATAAATAAGCCTTGATGTCATTATGCTAAGTGAAATGATCCACACACAAAAAGAACAACTACTGTATGATTCTACTTACATGAGGTACCTAGAGCCTCATGTAAGTAGAATTTTAGAGACAAAAACAGCATAGAGATTGCCTGGGGCTAGAGGAAGGAGGAAGTGGGCATCACTGTTAAGTGGGTATAGCCTTTCTGTCTGGAGATGGCTGGTGTCAATGATAACAGCAATGTGAATGCTGTAATGCCACTAAACTACCTAACACTTAAAAATGGCTAAAATGGCAAACTTTCTGTGTTTTATTGCAACAAAAATTAATTCACATTTTCATTGCTAGAGGCAAAAATCAATTACTTGGCTTTTTTTATTCAATACATTAAGGCACAATGGCTTAGACTCACCTGAAAACTCCAGCCCATTTCTTAAGCAGTGTTTCATTGTACTGATCTCTTATTTCAAATAAAAGGTCAAAAAGTCGGTTCACTGGAAAACCATACCCCTAAAACAAAATAAAACCAGATAAATCAAGTGTAAAATAAAACCAAAACAAAATAAAACCAGATAAATCAAGTGTAAAATTTAATTTTAAATATTGGGAATACTAAAGAACCATTCAAAAGAAATTACTAGATCACAATATATGATCCTCAAAGCATAAGGAAAAGTATCTCTTTAATTTTCTACTAGATTTCTTCTCTCTCTTTTCATTAAGGATTATAGTCTTAGCCTTAAAAAGTATTAAAGTCAAGATGGAAGAAAAAGTTCAAGATTGGTGATCTCCCTATGTACCTAAATAAGATAGAAGAAAAGGAAACAAAATCTGTCTGAAATATGCCAGCTTCCTACTGCACCTTCAATTTAAAACTAACTTTGTCCTATAAGGAAAATCTTTCCATCAAACTTTATTCTTTTCCAACTCTAAGCTCATTGAAATCCTACTCATATCAGAGCCAGACATTTTCTCTCACCTCACAAAATTGTCTCCTATATTCTCCAAGGTTTATCTCTTCATCTTTGTTTTTAATTCTACCTCCTTCTGTAGGAACCCTTGATTCTAGTGTGAGTACATAATCCTTTATTTTAGGTTCTAAACATCTCTTGTCTAAACCATTAAAAGATGTCCGTGAACTGAAATCCCAACCACCTGTTTCTTTCAACTGAACACATTGCCCAGACTCTCAAAATTACCATGCAGAAGTGCAAATCACTGCCTTGGTTAAAAGCTACAAAAGTATGAACAGGTCCTGCCCAGGTTGGGGGGGGTGGGGGATGCGGACACCATTGGGAGGTGGGAGGTGGCAGGGAAAGGGTGTCAGAGGGGGAATACGATACAAATACTGTGCACAAATGTATATAAATGCAAAAATGATACTTGTTGAAACTATTCCAGGAATGGGGGTGTAAGAAAAATGAGCTTTTCCATCAAAGTATTTGTTACCCTCTTAGATTACTTAAAAATTCCTCAGTTTGCCATCTTAGGTGACTTGCATGTTTAAAGGGTCCTTGCTCTTCTTCCAGATTCCTGTAGGACTCCATTGCCCACCAACTGTATGCCCTAACCCATCCCCCAAGCCTTTTAGCCAATCAAGTGAGATTGTGAACCTTTGACCTGGACAAATCCCAGGTGAGGGGCAGGTACAACTGCATCAGGGATATAAGGAGGAGCCACTGTCAGCCGTTTTGTGCTTGCATACTTGCTTAGCTGGAGTGGGCACATGCTTGCACCTTCCTGATCAAGAGAAATTGCCTTGTCAAGATTTTCTGTCTCTTGTGTAATATCTGTTTTCAGCACTGGAGGGTGCCGAAAGGAAGAAGGGAAAGGAGCTATAGAGGGAGTGTATTCAAGTATGATATATTTGATACACTGTAAGAACTTTTGTAAATGCCACAATGTACCCCCACTCAGCACAGTTTTTTTAAAAAGCTACAAAACCTGCCCCAATCTAGGTCAAACTACTTTTATCAATTTCATTACCACTATTGGGCTTCTTTGCTCACACCCATTACATTTTGTAATACCATCAGAACAGCTCAACCAGTCTCACATATGCCTCACATACATCTGTCCATAATTTATACTTGCTGTTTTCTCTTCCATTAATGCCCTCTCCTTCTTAAGCATTTGTGTAACTCACCCTTCAAAACCCAGCTCATAATTCAACTTTTCCCCAAGTCCTAAAATCAAAAGTAGGACTCATGTGGCTCTTTAACGTACTGCATATTATACTATTTTCTTAAATACTGTGTTTACAACCAAACTGTAAACTCCTTGAAGTCAAGGATTTTTATGTCCCTACTGCCCTTTTGATTTTATGTCTCTAGCAGTGTCAACTAACTGCTAGCAGGTAATGAGTACTCAAAAAGTGTTAATGAATAAAAACAATAAACATTTACTTTTGACTTGCCTAACAGGTAGTAAACAGAACTATAAATGTGCTAGTGCTACTTTTGACATTATTGTATAGTCAGCTTTGTTTTAAATGATAAAACATATTACTTTAAAAGGCAAAATTTCCTTAAAGAGGAAAAGTACCAATTTAAAAACTAAAATTTATGCAACATTCTTTAGTTAATTTTTGTGAAGATATCAGCATTCTTCGATTAATAATTAAAGTTAAAAAGTCAGCATTAATATAGTATAAATCAACCAAATAATGAATATGTCAATTTTCAGTAAAATTAAAATACTGTAGAATTTTGAATAAGTAAAAGGACTGGTATCTTCCTCAATCTTCCTTTAAAGCAGTAAGATTAGAAGGGCTGGGCATGGTGGCACACACCTGCAATCCCAGCACTTGGAGATAGAAGCAGGAGGATCAAAACTTCATGGCCACCCTGGGCTACACAGTGAGACTCTGTCTCAAAAACAAAACAGATTAGAAAGGTATCCTTGCAAGGATTACATAACTGTTGCTTTTACAATGCCATCATTGCCTGAAATCAAATTGTCTTTAACTTCTGATTCTCTGCAAAGTTCCTTGGAACCGTATCAAATATTCAGCTGTTCTCAAAGCGCCAGTCCAAGAACTGCTTGTAACAGTCTTCAAAGAGATAAGGCACTTACTAGTGCCTCTAAACATTTGTCAGGCATAGACATGGGCTGGAAATTTGGGCAGAACTTTCCTTCCCTCCCTCTTCCCTACCTCCCTCTCTCCCTCCCTCTTCCCTTCCTCCCTCTCTCCCTCCCTCCCTCCCTCCATCCCTCCCTCCTTCTTTCCTTCCTTCTTTCCTTTCAATTAGATAAGCTTTAATTTCTGCTACTCTGTAAACCCTTTATTTTATGAGGAAAATATATTATTGACTACATATACAATTCTTTCAGCACAGCATCATATAACCATTCAGTTTCATTGGTCATTATCCAGGCAGAATCTCTTAAGGTAGAATTCCTTTTCTGGGAAACATTAGTATTTGCTTTTAAGTCCTTGCACTGATTGGATGAGACCCACCTACGTTATTATAGAGTATACTCTGCTTTATTTAAAATCAATTGACTGTTAATATTAATCACATATGCAAAGTACCACCACAGCAACCTCTACACTAGTGTTTGACCAAACAGTGGGCATCATCACCTAGTCAAGTTGACACTAAAATGAACCAGTACTAGAGCCAAAAGCATGGCCTGTTCCATAGTCTCAGATCATACCTTTTATCCCTACCATGTTAGAGTGTGGACAAATCCCTGTAAACTCACTTCACTTATGGGGCAGAATCTCCCTGGATCTGGCTTCCATCTTGGGAGTTTGAAGGGTGACACATAAATTTAGTATGAAAACAAGATGCAATCAATTCTCTATTATTTGTGATTAAGGAAGAACTAGTAAGACATCTTAAACTTTCATACTGAAAATCACAAAGCATTGAATTTTGAGGTAATTTAGTCTTAATCCTGTTTTTCAAAAAGAAAAATCAAAAGTCAAGAGGAAAGTGATTTTCTCACTCATAGAACACATGGCAAACCTGAAATTAGGAAGGAAATAAATAAACACACCTTTAAAATTATATAGTTTCATGTAAGATACTACATTTAAAACTCAAAACATTTCTGAAAACTAGTAATTAATAAACCCATGTTCACAAATGAGTATCTGAGGCTTAAAGAACTTGTAGGCATACAACTAGTAGATAGCATGGGTGGAAATGAAACTCAGGAACTATGTGATTTCAGAGCCTATGCTCACTGCTCTAAGGCAGAATTTACATCTTCTAGTTTCTAGTTTATATTCTTTTAACTATACTATGTGTTCTGTTCCCCGCCTCCCCAGACAGGATATTGCTATGAAGCCCAGGCCGACCTCAAACTCAAGATTGTGCTGCCTCAGCCTTCTGAATGCTGGGATTCAAGGCATGTACTACCACAACTGACCTTCTTCTTTTTTTTGGTTTTTTTTCAGTAGCAAAAATACTTTATTCTAACAGAATGGCCAGTATTTTAAAAGATGGTAGTATTTCCTGAGCTCTGTCCAAGCTTCATAATTGGGAAGGAGGTGGCATAAGCAGTCCTAGATAATAGGGGAATATAATTACATAAGTAAATATTTACTACTACTACTAACTTACTACCACGCTTACTAGAACACATGAGCATGGTCTGTATTTTGTATGCCTCTAAGTACTCCAAATAACCATTAACTTAATGTTAGGTTATCACCTACCTGTAAAGTATCTGCAAAAATTACAATGAGATTCTTCAGCTCCAGAACAAGATCAGGATCCGTGCAGTAAGACTGAGGGAAAGGGGACCAGTGGGTATGAGGATGGAAACACAAACAAAACAAAATACAAGACAAGTCATTCATTTAAAAATTAAGAAATAAGAACTCAAAATTTTTTCTTTTAATCTGGCATACTTAGAATAAAATTAACATCTTGGTTATTAGTTAGATCCAAGGCTGGCTTCCACTATTCAGTATAAACTTTTAGGGAGAGATCATAACATGACATGTCTGAAGTATATTGTACAAAAAAAAAATTTTCCTAAACTTGCACACAATAAACTTTGATCAAAACAATGATGCTTACATTTCTAAAAGTTTTTAAGAAACTAGTTACTTGGTATGTTTTATACAGACCATATATTTTCACTTTTTATTCATTTATTGATTCTTCAGCTCATAAAAGATACAATATTACTTTTTCCAATATAAGATTATTTTAAATATTTCTTAGTAATTAATCAAGTGAAAATTATTAATTTCAAAGGGACATTGAAATTTACTGTCCTTTTAATATGATTTTGAATGTGACATATTTAATATGCTATGACTTCATATTTAATGTCATGGAGTTTGCAGGATAGATGCCATAACCTCATATAATTAGAGCTGGTCTGAATATAAACTGTGATAAAATGTAGTATTCTTGCACCAAGGCTGAAGTTCAGTGGTATAGCACTTCCTAGTGTGTGTGAGGCCCTGGGTTAAATCACCCAACACCAAAAAAAAAACAAAAAAAAGAAAGCATTACAGTTTATTAATATGTTGGAAAAAGGTTTAGTTTATTAGATAATATAACAAGAACTTACATTCCCAATGAGTAAAAATATAGTGCATTTATAATCTATGTATTATAAAAGCTAACAATACTCTTCAACATATTTTAAATCTCTATTACCATCTATGAAGTTATTTATAACAGACTACAAACATTTTAATATAGGGTATTTTATTGAAGGGAAACTACTAAAACTGTCCTAAGGAAAACCCACATTCACCAATTATTAATTTCAATAATTTTTATAATTTTAACATGTTTATTATTCCCACAAAAGGCATTAGGAAGACATCTGACCATTTAATTTTAATCCATTAAAAAAATCTCATTACATAAAGGTTCATTATTTCAAGTGAGTTCAAAATTTGAAAACTGTAAATTTTAGAGAATAATAAACTAAAAAAGTAATAAAGTAATAACTGTAGTATTTTCTGCGAATTATAAATGCTGAAGAAAATGTTTTATTGAGTTTTAATGGTGGAGTTTAGTTTGGAAACAAAGATTTTGGAATGATAATTAAAAACCCTTTCTTCACGGTGCTTTTCAGTGATCTAATGAAGAGGTCAGTTGAGACTAATGAGACCAGCTTGATTCTTCATTTTCTATAATGCTGGAATAAAGTGTCTTGGGAAGCCCCAGCCAGCACAGAATCACAGTCTGCTATACCCAGACAAAAGCCTGACATTACTACTTCCAAATCTGAGCAATTACCATAAAATTCAGAATGATGGCGGTATAGTTTCCTTTGACATTATGCAGCTCAGAAGTTCTTGAAGTAACTGAATTAAAATTTTAGTAATATAAATTATCTGACTTACTGAATGAGCTCTGAGGACCGCAATTATCTTTGAGAGGGCCATGTTCCAAAGTTCATCAGTGTATGCTCTGGTTACTAATCCTTGAGTCACATGTAAAATGTGATCTTCCACCACAAAGAACCTAAAACGGTAATTCCAACAGAGCATGTATTTTAAAAATCCCAAACAGAAAATAATTACTTCTGACATTTAACATAGTATAAAATTAGTAATAGTTGCTTCCATATTAGATACATACCCTACAATCTGAGTGAAATATCTTCTATAGCCATCAACTGTTTCATGCTTTAAATGAAAAATAAAAATCAATTTAAACCAATAAATACCAGTAACATAAAATTTCCAAGTCACTACAACTTCATTAATAAATACTTATTGAGAGCCTACTACATGCTACACACTTAGGTACCAGGGATACATGTGTAAATATAATAAGTACTTATCCTGATGAAAGGAACATTTGAAATAAACAAGTTAAAAAGTAAACAAGACTTCAGAACCCCTTCTCAACAAACTATTTGAAGCTACTATCACCTCTCCCTTGGTTCAACAGATTACCCTCCTACCTCTCCCCAGCTTCCAAGCTTGCCCTACAATCTATTCTCATACAGCCGTCAGAAAGATACTTTTCAAACAGCAATCAGACATTTTATCTTCTGCCCCAAACCTTGCCTTTTCATATCATTCATAACAAAAATGATCCTACAATTGGCTGTTTATAATTATAACAAAAGGCAAAAAAATACTTCATATTTCAATTAAGTTCAAATGGAATATTTTGCATGTTTCATAAATGTGATCAATTTTTCAAACATCTGGGTTTCTTTCAGTAATTTTGGGGGAGAATTGTTAATATTTTAGCTTAAAAATACTATGATCACAAAATATAGTTTATACAATATCAAATGTTTGATATTTTCTGATACTTGCTATCTATAACAGTATGTAATCAAAAGCTATGTAATATTTCATGAGCACTGGAAGAGTGTGCTTTTACAGTTGTTGAAACAGGATTCTCCATGTTCCATTTGATCAAGCTGATTAAGCATATTTTATATTCTAACTGGCATTTTGTCTACTTAGATAACAAGATAGCCAGATGTTTAAAAATCCACTATGCATATGAATTTTTCCATTTCTCTTTATAGCTGATACAATTTTGCTTTAAATATTTAAAATCAATGTTGCAAATACTTACACACATATTTTATTTTCATCATTCTAGGTTTTTTTCTCTATCACACAAAAGAATATACTTGGTTTCTATATTTTTAGTAGTCACTCTAAAAAAATCACATCCTTAAGTAATCAAACTAACATCACTATTTAGTTTTTATTATGTTTTGCCGATTATTCTTTTCTGCATCTGCCATTTAGTATTCTTTCCTTTTACCCTTTCCTTTGGAAATTCTTTAATAAAGATGCTTTGGTGGCAATTTCCATTCCTCTTTGTCTGAAAAATGTTTGTCTGCCCTTCTTTCACTGGATATTGAAGCCTGGGTTGATCATTAATCTTCTTTCAGCACTTAAGATATTTCATTGTCTTGTTTATTTGAAAATAATCTACTTTTAAGATCAATTTTTTTTGGTGGTTTTGTTGTTATTATTGTTTTGTTTTTGTTTTATGGTGCTGGGAATCAAAACCAGGGCCACATGCATGCTAGACAAGCACACTACCACTGAGCTACATCTCCAGCCCCTATTAAGCTTCATTTCTACAGTCAAGTTTACTGATACATAATTTAAACAAAAAAAATATCAAAGATATACAGACAGTAAATTAGCACATAAAAAGATGTTCAGTATAACTTTTCATCAGGTAAACATAAACAAAACCACAGTGAATTACTGCTACACACTTACTATAATGCTGAAAATTTAAAAAATTGACCAAGTGCTGGTAAAGCTGTGGAGCAGCTGGAACTTGCTTACACTTTTGGTAGGTAAAGGTTGATAATTTGCAATAATGAATTACCATACAATCTTGCAGTCCTCCTAGATTTACTCATGAGAAATGACACAGTAGCTCATCTGTGAACATTTATATGTCCATTTTAAAAGTTGGCTTGTCTTTAATTGTTCAATTATACAAGTTCTTTATAAATTCTGGATGTACAAGCACTTTGTTAGATGTGAGTTTTGAAATATTTTCTCCAATGAGGTTAGCCTGGCCCAAAAGACCAAAAATCGTATGTTCTCTCTCAAATGTGGACATTAGATCAAGGGCAAACACAACAAGGGGATTGGACTTTGAGCACATGATAAAAGCAAGAGCACACAAGGTAGGGATGAGGATAGGTAAGACACCTAAAAAATTAGCTAGCATTTGTTGCCCTTAACGCAGAGAAATTAAAGCAGATACCTTAAAAGCAACTGAGGCCAATAGGAGAAGGGGACCAGGAACTAGAGAAAAGGTTAGATCAAAAAGAATTAACCTACAAGGTAACACACGCACAGGAAATTAATGTGAGTCAACTCCCTGTATAGCTATCCTTATCTCAGCCAGGAACACTTGTTCCTTCCTATTATTGCTTATACTCTCTCTTCAACAAAATTAGAGATAAGGGCAAAATAGTTTCTGCTGGGTATTGACAGGGTGGGGGGGAGAGGGAGGGGGCAGAGTGGGTGGTAAGGGAGGGGGTGGGGGCAGGGGGGAGAAATGACCCAAGCCTTGTATGCACATATGAATAATAAAATAAAAAAAAAAAGAAAAGAAATATTTTCTCCAAGTATGTTCTTACCTTTCCATTTATTTTTTTCTTACCTATTTTATGGTGGTACTAGGTTTGAAGTCAGGGCTTTGTACTTGCTAGGCAGGCACTCTACCATTTCAAAAATGCCTCCAGCCCTTTTTGCTCTTGTCAGTTTGGAGATAGGGTCTCACTTTTTGCCCAGGCCAGCCTGGACCATAATCCTCCCATTTTAGGCTTGCTGGGATGATAGGCATGCACCACCACTTCCAGCTTTTCTCCACTGAGATGGGGTCTTACAAACTTTTTTGCCTGAGAAGGCCTGGAACCACAATTCTCCCAATCTCAGCCTCCCACATAGCTTGAGATGAGAGATACACTTCACTGCACCCAGTCCCTTTTCATTTTCTTGACACACTTTTTAAAGAGTAGAAGTGTTGACACTTTCTGGTAGTCTGACTCTCAGTCAGGTAAGCCTTTCTTTTTGGGCTAGAGGCGTGGCTCAAGTGGTAGAGCATCTGCCCTGCAAGCACAAAGCCCTGTATGCAAACCATAGTACCACAAAAAAAATAAAGAGTGGAAGTTTTTCATTTCACTATTCAATTACTCAGTTTTTTTCTCTTATGTTCATGCTTTATGTATGTCACCTAAGGAAATACTGCCTAAACCAAGGTCACAAATATTTTACCCTTTGTTATTTTCTTTTTCCAAGAGTTATAATTTTAACTCATACATTTAGGTTCATAATCTATTTCTTGAATTACTGAATGAACTAAGAGTCAATATTCATTTTTTTAACATATGGATCATTTCATATCTTCTGGTCAGAGCACAGGATTTTTATGACTTCAAGAGCTTTATGTTCATTGATACCTACTTTATGGTCCAGAATATGAACTGTCTTGGTGAATCTTCTACGTGTACCTAAAAGGATATGCATTCTATTTGGGCAGAATATTCAATAAATGTCAATTAGATCAAAATACCTAAAAATGTTTTTCATGTCTTCTATTTTCTCTTTATCACTAGTGTTCTGCAATTTCATTATAGGGCTTCTGAGAGTGTTTCTTTCCATTTAACCTATTTGGGATTCCTTGAGCTTAACTGTTTCTTTTCAGCCATATACTATCATATTCTTCTGTTCCATTTGCTCTGTTCTCTTTCTGAAACTCCAACTAGACATGTTAGACCTCATGGTATGTCTTCTCTTCTGTTATTTTTTAAATTTTGTATCTTGATGATGAATTCTAGATAATATCTTCTTATCAACAAAGAAAATCCATCAACTGTTAAACCTATTCAGTTTCGGATATATAATTATACGCATTGTGTGTGTGTGTGTGTGTGTGTGTGTGTGTGTGTGTGTGTGGTGCTGGGCATTGCACCCAGGGCCTTCTACATTCTACTTATGTGCTCTACCACTGAGCTACTTTCCCAGTCCTCGATCAATTTGTAATTTCTAGATACTATACCTGATTTTTCTTCACATCTTGTTCAGTCATTTTTTGTAGTTTCTGTTCCTCATTATATTAGCAATCTTGCCTTTTATTTCTTTAAATATATTAAATAGTGTTATCACTATTTCATAAATGACTGAACTATAAAGTTGTTTAGGACCTATTTCTGTTATTAATATTTCAATATTACTTTTGACTATAATTTGCTAATTTCCTTGAAACTTTATGAATACTCTTTAACTCTGGGATGAAGGTGCAGAGATCACTATTTGCTTTGCTTTTGCCAAGCACTTGAAGACACAATCAGCATGGACTCACTTTAAGCTAAATTTCCAGTTTGATATACTTTGACTAAGCACAATGAATTTGGGTTGCAACACATGTAACAAACTGCTTGTTATGAATTCTCAGAGAGACCTTTTTTCTCTGTTCACTCAGTACCAAGATTAGAGGTAGCTAACTTTCGGTACAGTACTTGTGAGAGAGAATTGAACGGTTTTTAAATGGTTTATCTAGGCCATCCTAATAATGAGGCTTTAAATTCTTTGGAGCTTCATCTTTGTAAGGGAGAGGCTCTCTTACTGAACATCTATCTACTTTAAGTGGACTCTAGGTTAACCCCTCTGGACTCCAAGTCCTCAAAACTTGTGCTTTCTCTCTCAATAGATGCTCCTAAGATAAAAGTTACATTCAGAGCCTCATTATACCTATATGGGTTTCTGCCTTCATTTAGATTTTCCTGTTTTGCTCATTTGTTTTATAGCCAGCTGTACTGAGGTATAAATTGCATTCAAAAAAAAATTCACTTTTTCATGTGCAGTTTCTATGAGTCAAAATAAACACATCTAGTCACATAACTGTCACCACAATAAACATCTAGGAAAGTTTATTTACTTAGTTTTTGTCCTGATTATACTTTTCTGCCAGATCTTCAGTACGTTTCAAAAATCTAAAATCGTAAGGAAAAAAGTCTAACATCTTTAGTTTTGTTTTTTTTTTTCCAGATGTAACCATTAATCAAGGTACATACTTTACTATACTGTTAAAAACTAATCATCATTCTTAACATTTTATATATTTATCTTTCTAAAATTTACTGTCTATTTTCCTAAAAGAATGTAAGCTCACAAGAGAAGGGACTTAATCAGTTTTGCTTACTGTTGTACCCATGGCACCTAAACCAACTATTAGAAATGGTAGGTGTTCACTAAATATTTGTAGCCAAATGAATGCATGCTTTGAAGAAATTAAACCAAGGTACAAGAATAAAAAGAAACAACATAACTAATTCAAAATTTTCACATACGTACCATATTTGACTGAGGTTGCAATACTAGTCTTGCTTGTTTTTTTCTTTGTTTTCTGTAATAATTTTCAAATGTTTCTTCATCACCCTAAAATAAAGCCAGAATAATAAAAAAATGTGTGCATGAGCACACAATACACACACACACACATACATATAGAGCTCTTTTTTTTTCTTATTCTTTTTTTTCTTTATTCATTTATTCGTATGTGCATACATTGTTTGGGTCATTTCTCCCCCCCCCAACCCCCTCCCGCTCCCTCCTCTCCCCCTCACACCCTCCTCACTTCCAAGCAGAACTTGTTCTGCCCTTTTCTCCAATTTTGTTGAAGAGAAGAATAAGCAATAATAAGAAAGACATAGCAGTTTTGCTAGTTGAGATAAGGATAGCTATAGAGAGATTTCTAGCATTGCTTCCATGCACAAGTGTATTACATGATTCATCTCTACCTGACCTCTTCACTACTTCCTGGTCACCTTCCCATATTGACCTCTGCAACTTTAAGGTTACTGTATTACCTCCTCTGCAGTGGGGACATCAAACACTTTCATGTTTTGGGTTTCCTACCTATCCGCGTACCTCCTGTATGTGCTCTCCCCTTAGTGTGTGACCCAAGTCCAACAACATTGCTGTATTTGCCCTAGATCTAAAGTCTGCATAGGAGGGAGAACATACAATTTTTGGCCTTCTGAGCCTGGCTAACCTAGCTCAGAATGATGTTCTCCAGTTTCATCCATTTACTTGCAAATGATAAGATTTCATTCTTCTTCATGGTTGAGTAAAACTCCATTGTGTATAAACACTTCATGCTTGCTAGGAAGGTGCTCTACTACTTGAGCCACTCTGCCAGCCCATGATTTATTTTTTATGAATTCAGAAAAATAAAACTAACTAGGCATCAGTGTCTCATGCCCAACTACTCAGAAGGCAGAGGTCAAGAGGATCATGGTTCAAAGCGAGACCGGGCAAATGGTTCATTAGACCCTACCTCTAAAATACCCAGCACAAAACAGGGCTGGCAGAGTAGCTCAATCTGTAGAGCCCTTGCCTAGAAAATGTGAGGCCCTGAGTTCAAACCCCAGTACCACCAATGTAAGTAAGTAAATAAATAAGAGTGTTACTCGATAATAAATAAAAAATAGTGTAGTAGAAAGAATTTTTTTTCTTTTAATTTTTATTTTATTCAGTAGAAAGAACTTCTCAGACAGGGAAATATGCCACAAGTGCTAGTTGATCTTTATGTATTTATTTATTTATTTTTTAATTGTTATTTTATTCATATGTGCGTACAATGTTTGGGCCATTTCTCCCCCCCTTTCCCCCACCCCTACCACCCACTCCCTCCCTTCCCCACCCTTACCTCTCACTACCCAGCAGAAACTATTCTGCCCTTATCTCTAATTTTGTTGAAGAGAGAGTATAAGCAATAATAGGAAGGAACAAGGGTTTTTGCTAGTTGAGATAAGGATAGCTATACAGGGAGTTGACTCCCATTGATTTCCTGTGCATGTGTGTTACCTTCTAGGTTAATTCTTCTTGAACTAACCTTTTCTCTAGTTCCTGGTCCCCTTCTCCTATTGGCCTCAGTTGCTTTAAAGTATCTGCTTTAGTTTCTCTGCATTGAGGGCAACAAATGCTATCTAGTTTTTTGGGTGTCTTAACGATCCTCATACCTCCCTTGTGTGCTCTCGCTTTATCATGTGATCAAAGTCCAATCCCCTTGTTGTGTTTGCCCTTGATGTAATGTCCACATATGAGGGAGAACATACGATTTTTGGTCTTTTGGACCAGGCTAACCTCACTCAGAATGATGTTCTCCAATTCCATCCATTTACCTGAGAATGATAACATTTTATTCTTCTTCATGGCTGCATAAAATTCCATTGTGTATAAATACCACATTTTCTTGATCCATTCGTCAGTGGTGGGGCATCTTGGCTGTTTCCATAAGTTGGCTATTGTGAATAGTGCCGCAATAAACATGGGTGTGCAAGTGCCTCTGGAGTAACCTGTGTCAAATTCCTTTGGGTATATCCCCAGGAGTGGAATTTCTGGATCATATGGCAGATCTATGTTTAGTTTTTTAAGAAGCCTCCATACTGTTTTCCAGAGTGGTTGCACTAGCTTGCATTCCCACCAGCAGTGTATGAGGGTTCCTTTTTCCCCACATCCTCACCAACACCTGTTGTTGGTGGCATTTTTGATGATAGCTATTCTAACAGGAGTGAGGTGGAATCTTAGTGTGGTTTTGATTTGTATATCCTTTATGACCAGAGATGGTGGGCATTTTTTCATGTGTTTTTTGGCCACCTGAATTTCTTCTTTTGAAAAGGTTCTGTTTAGTTCAGTTGCCCATTTCTTTTTTTTTTTAATTTTTTTTCTTGTTTATTAATTCACATGTGCATACATTGGGTCATTTCTCTACCCTGCTCCCCTCCCCCACCCTTTCCCTCCTCCCCTCCTCAGTTTCAGGCAGGCCCCATTCGGCCCTTATCACTGATTTTGTTGAAGAAAGGACATATGCATAATAAGAAAAACAAAGCATTTTTGCTGGTTAAGGATAGCTATACAGAAAGATTCCTACTATTGCTTTCATGTACCTACCCATTTCTTTATTGGTTCATTAATTTTGGGGGAGTTTAGTTTTTTGAACTCCCTATATATTCTGGTTATCAGTCTTTTGTCTGATGTACAGCTGGTAAATATTTTCTCCCACTCTGTGGGTGGTCTCTTCAGTTTAGAGACCATTTCTTTTGCTGTGCAGAAGTTTTTTTATTTTATGAAGTACCATTTGTCCATTCTTTCTCTTAGTTGCTGAGCTGCTGGGGTTCTATTGAAGAAGTCCTTGCCTATACCTATTGATTCCAGAGTATTCCCTACTCTTTCCTGTTCTAACTTCAGAGTTTTGGATCTGATATTAAGGTCCTTGATCCATTTTGAGTTAATACTAGTACAGAGTGATAAACATGGATCTAGTTTCAGTTTTCTGCAGGCAGATAACCACTTTTCCCAGCAACATTTGCTGAAGAGGTTGTCTTTTCTCCATCGTATGTTTTTGGCACCTTTGTCAAAAATAAGGTGGGCATAGCTGTATGGATTCATATCCGGATCCTCTATTCTATTCCACTGGTCTTCATGTCTGTTTTTGTGCCAGTACTATGCTGTTTTTATTGCTATTGCTTTGTAATATAGTTTGAAGTCGAGTATTGTGACACCTCCAGCATTGCTCTTTTTGCTGAGTATTGCCTTGGCTATTCGTGGTCTCTTGTGTTTCCAAATGAATTTTAGGGTAGATTTTTCTATCTCTGTGATAAATGTCATTGGGATTTTGATGGGAATTGCATCAAACATTAGATTGTTTTTGGTAGTATACCCATTTTTACTATGTTGATTCTACCAATCCATGAGCACAGGAGATCTCGCCACCTTCTGCAGTCTTCCTTGATCTCTTTCTTCGGGGGTTTGTAGTTCTCCTTGTAGAAGTCATTCACATCCTTTGATAAGTTTACTCCTAGGTATTTGATTTTTTTTTTTGAGACTATTGTAAATGGAACTGTTTCCATATATTCTTTCTCAATTTGTTTGTTGTTGGTGTATAGAAAAGCTAATGATTTTTGTAAGTTGATTTTGTATCCTGCCACCTTGCTGAAGCTGTTTATGGTGTACAAGTTCTTTACCATCAAACAGTCATTTTAAATTTCCTAACTGGAATATAAATGCTGAATGGCATTTCAGATTGAATGTAAAGAAAAGGCATTATAGCTCAAACTTAGTAAATGTACTTGCTATCATGATCACTGAGAAAAATAAAGTTAAGGCCCAACAATTTGACATTTGCCCAGTTCATCACTTAAGCTTTGTAGATTTTTGACTGACCAAATGAAAATATGGCTGTCAGTGAAGGAAACTAAATAAATTAACTGTCAAGCCTAAATTTCTGAACCATTGCCCTATGTGAACTGGCTTCTTCTTCCACCTCTTGCTATACCCTGTCTCCCAGTATATCCAATACACTATTCTGTTTTCATTCCAGCCTTTTGTGTAGGCTATTTCTAAAGCATGCTTTCCAGTTCCCTATCTACTTATGATTTGTTACTCATCCTTCTGGACTTCCCATAGATGTCACTTCCTTTGGAAAGCTTTGTCTAATTCCAAAGGCATGCTATTTTCTATTATACTACAACAACCTATCAAAGCACTTATATGGGGCTGTAACTTCCTGATTATTAGTCTAACTCAGTTTTATCCAGCAGAACGTTTTATGATGATGGAGTTTCTATGTTTGCTGTCTAATATGGTAACCACTAGTAACATGTGGCAGTTGAACATTTGAAATGTGGCTAATAGGACTGAGATACTTTATTTGCTTACTTTTAATTAATTTAAATTTAAATGGCCACACATAGCTAGTGGCTAACATAATGCACAGCAGAGATCTATCTCCTTAACTTTATTCTAAGTCTGTTAGAACTGTCTACATATAATTTTACAATTAAGAACATTTACATTTATGGTTATTAGTGGGAGGTATTTGCTGACTTTTAAAATTTTGGGGTTTTTTGTTTTGTTTGCTTTGGTTTTTTTCCTGGTTGGTTTAAGTACTATATATTTTTTTCTCTCTCCCTTATTCATCTTAGGAATTTGCTAGTTTTCTGAGTTTAACATGCTTGATTCTTTTCTAATCCTCATTTTTTCACCTATTCCTCTCATGAAATTTATTCTTTTCTGAGCTTTTGTGACTGTCTTTCTTCCTCATCTGTGTATTCAATTCCTTCAGGTGTCTTCTGCAATGCTGGCTCAGTGGTTATGAATGGCTATAGTTCATGCTTATATTGGAAGTTTCTCATGTCCCAGTGATTTGTAAAAGGGTAACTTTGCTGGACAAAGTAATCTTGTTCAGTAATTATTTACTCTCAGGGCTTGGAATACATCATTTCATGCTTTCCTGGCTTTCAGAGTTTCTACAGAGAGGTCTGATGTAATTCTGATGAGTTTGCCTTTATAAGTAGGTTGACATTTTTCTCTTGTATCTTTCAGTATTTTTTTTTTTTTTGTTCTGTACTCCTGACATTTTAACTACAACATAATGTGGAGACGTATTTTTCTGGTAATGTCTATGTGAGGTTCTAAAGATTTGGACATTTTTTCTGCTGTAATTTCAGTGAACAGGTTTTCTATGCCTTTAGATTATACCTCAGGTTCTTCTACTCAGTAGACTCTTAGGTATAGTCTCTTAATCACATGTCAGAGTTCTTGAAAGTTGTGATCATTCTTGCTTTTTTTTTTTATTCTTACTGTCTGAATATAGTATTTCCACAACCTTGTCTTCAATCTCTGATACTCTTTCTCTGATACTTTCTTCTGCTTGAGCTAGACTACTGGTGATACTTTCTACTGTGTTTTCTACTTGATTTATTGACATTTTTCATTTCCAACATTTCCAGTTTTTTAAAGAATTTCAATTTTCTTGCTGAACTTTTAATCCATTTTACTGACATTCTCATCTGGGTCTTGAGCTGACTCACTTGCTTCATTCATCTATTTATTTGAATCCTCTTTAAGATCATTTCTAAAACTAGACTTTTAAATTTTTGTCCAGCACTTCAAGCATTTCAGTATCTATGGATTTGGTTACTAAAGAGTCATACTGCCTTGCTTTTTCATACTCCTTGTTTCTATGTGGTTATCTGCACATCAAATGTTTTGTTTAAGATTTACTGAGATGCAGGAAGTTCTGAGTGTCCCTAATCTGCCATCTTCCATCCTCCCTGAATTATATCTTAATAAAGCAATTATTTTAAAAAAGATAACTGACAAGTTAATCAAAACAAGAATGATACAGTATGAAGTAAAGATGTAGAAATGAAATATCTGCAAGTAACTGTGATACAATATTAGCACAAAGACAATGGAGAAATATAAATACAGTCATGAATCACTTAATAATAGGGATATATTCTGAAAAAGACAATAAATTTGTTATGAACATCACAGGGTGTACTTACATAAATCTAGATTATACAGCCTACTATACACCTAGGTATGTGGTATAACCTATTCTTAAATTCTTTTATTTTACTTTTTAAACCTTTTTTTTTTTTCAGAAAAAAAACTTAGCCATAAGTGTACACATTAGCCTAGGACTACACAAGGTCAAAATCATCAAAATATACTTACCAAAACAGAATAAATGTGCAAACATCGGTAAACAGGGGAAAAATCAACAAGATCCTGAACAGTTAAGACCTAAAAAAAAAAGGCATTAAAAAAAAAGCAGTCAAAATATCAATCTGCTGTCGAATAATATAAAGTTAAAGATAGAAGAGATTCATGAATTTTGTATAACATTTATGTAATTCTCCCATAGAAAGTGTACAATATAAACACAATACCCATTTTATTTCATCTGTGTATTTTCAGTAGTTTATTCTTTATATATTTATTATCACTGCTGACTATTTTAGATTATAAAGTATATCTTCATATACTTGGGAAATTACCAGAAAATTGTTATGGTTAAGTAGATACTTCATTTTTACTTTGTTAAAAATGATGCATGGATTTATGACTTAGCTATAGACAAAGCTTCTCCTCTTAAACAGCTAAGTCAAATGATTTACCATTATTGCTTCAAATGAAAGACAGCATCACTATTACTTTATAGACCATTAAAAAAGAAAAAAAAAACAGCCACTTGAAACTACGACATCATAAATTTTAAGATGTATACTGACTTATGGAATACAGAGTGTGAAAATTATTCCCATTATATTATAATGTGAAAAAAATGAAGCTTAGAATTGATTAAATATAGTTTGAAGTTCTTCAAACTTGAGAAATTCATTAACCTTTCTGAAGGGAACACATTTCTACTCTTAGGAATCCTCAGAATGGATTTAAATTATTGTTCTTATGCTGTTATTTATTAGGAAAAATATGGAAACAAAATGTACTACTTGTAAAAGAAAACCAAAAGAACTGGAAAACAACCAACTTACTCTAAGAGCATGGATTTAGGGTTAAGGCTTGATGGTTAAATTCCCAACAATTAAAGACATGCAAAATAGAACAGAGAGGGAAACTGAGGTAAGGATGGTTTATTTTTACCATTCTAAACATCAAGAATGTAGAAATCCTCTGAATATTAAGAACAAAAGTGTAGATTTTAAAAATACTTAATTTCAAGACACACTATCCATATTAGGAAGACATTCAGCTGTCTAAGGCTGAATTATATTGCTTATATTCAGGACAATAATATACATTCATTTCATATGTGTGTGTATTTGTGTATACATATATATTATATATAAAATCACATATATAAATATGCATACATACATCTAAACATTTCACATACATGTGTGTATAGTCACATCCTCTGACATACAGCAAAAATGTACACAGTGAACATTCAGTTGTTGTACCACTCACAGAGGAGGCCATGAACACACATTCACATAGCTTAATTAAAAGTTCTTACTATGCCCAATTAGGTCATTAGAAAAAGAATTTCAAACCTCATTGACAAGGCAAAACTTACAAGTAATCAGGAATAAGTAGGCTCCCTATGATACTAAATTTGAAAGGAATTCCAAGAAGACAGCCAGGTGTTACTTAAGTGGTGTCACACATCTGTAACCCCAGCACTTGGGAGACGGAGGCAGGAGGAATGAGAGTTCGAGGCCAGTCTGAGCTACACAGCAAGATACTGTCTCAGAACAAACAAACAAAAAACAATCAAAAGAAGGAGGAGGAGAAAAATGGTAGACTCAATAGAAAACTTTGTGGAATTTTAAAAAGTAATAGGATGAAAGAATGAATTTGGATATAAAAGATAACAAAGTAATTTTAAGGTTTCTAGACCTTTTAGGATTATTTTTAAGAATTAAAAAATTTAGCCATAATCATAATAGAATTATTTTGCAGTATCTCAGCATCAACAGAAAAAAAATTGGTAGGCTATCCAGAATTAGGCCAAATGGCAGGATCAAGACATTGTGAAATAAAAAATTTGCCATAGATAATTCAAATATGAGTAATTACTATAAAAGCAATAGATTTACATTTCAGTGGTAATTATGGGGAAATGACTAGCTTCAACTATCTATGGTTTACAAATATAATCTGCAATGTATCCAATTTGTCTGTCAGTTATGTAGTTTAGTGTTCAAATGATTCCATTGTCCATTACAATATGATTGCCATAAATCCAGTTTGCAAAGGGGAAGACTAAGAGTGACAGAGATGTACTTTATAACCCAAAATTAAAAATGTATCCAGTAAGAAAGAAAGGAAAAACCCCATTACCTCCTCTTCATTCTCATCCTCTTCCTCAAGTACATATTTTAATACAATTTCATTCTTTTTTCTGGAATTCTATCATGATTTATATACATATTCTTCCCAAATTTCACATTATTTTGCTTCTGCAGAGCAACACTGAAGATCTTCTGCTGTTGTGCCTATTTTGGGAAAGAGAAAACTTTAGATTATTTTAATATTTATTATAGTCAAAGTTGGTGCAATTTTGTTTTGGTTTGGTTTTTTTGAGACAATGTCTTGCTATGTATTTCAAGCTGGCTTGAAACTTACTATGTAGCTTAGGCTGGCCTCAAATTCGAGCTTCTCCTGCCACAGCTCCTGAGTGCTGAGATTACAGATATATATATGTGGGTCTAAAAAATTTTGTTCATAGTATTTTCTTATCTTCTTAATGTAGATGTAGGATCTGTAGCAATATACTCCTTTTTATTCATGATTTGTGCCTTCTCTCTTCCTTTTCAAATAGTCTCACAGGGGGTTATCAATTTTATTTTAAAACATTAAGAACCAACTTTTGGCCTCGTTCATATCCCTATTGTTTTTTCTCTTCTATTATGTTGATGTCTGCTCTTATTTTGATTATTTCCTTCTTTTTTTTTTTTAGTTTAATTTTCTGTTTCTTTAACTTCTTGAAATGATTACTTAATTCATTGATTTCATCCTTCCTTTGCTAATTTGTAAATTTAAGGTTGCAAATTTCCCTTTAAACATGAGGCTTTCCTAACCTATAAAAGTTCCTGGGAGGCTGACATAGTAGAGCACTTGTCTATCAAGGTCAAGATCCTGAGTTCAAACCCCAGTACCACCAAAAAAAAAAAAAAAAAAAAAAACTTTGAATGAGGGGAGGGAGGATAAAGGAGAATGGTGGAGGGGGTGCATTCAAATGTATTTGATATATTGTAAGAACTTCTGTAAATGCAATAATGTACCCCCAGCACAGCAATAATAATTTTTTTAAAAAGTTCCTGGGATACTCCTGTTTTCTAGATTCAGCACTGCTAGAACTGTGGTTTTGAATCTCATTCTCTTACTTCGTAGTCTCTACTTTTTCCAGGCTACTAATCTGAGGCTGGAACTCTAACCCACTGTCCTACAATTCTATTGTTTCTGCTTCTACACTGTCACCCAGAAATAACCTTAATCCCATTTTTGGCTTAAATTTTTTTTTTTTGTAGTTTTTGTTCATCTGCAGCAAATAAAGGTTTTTGGGTTTTTTTTAAATCAATCAAGTTTTTAACACTAAGCTGAACAAAAGATACTTCTAAAAATAACTCGAAACTGGGAGAGATGGCTTACACCTATAATCCCGGCTAATTGGGAAGCAGAGATTAAGAGGGTCACAGTACAAGGCCAGCATGGACAAAAATTTAGCAGGACCCGCCCCCATCTCAACCAAAAAAAAAAAACCAAACAAACAAACCATGCATGGTGGTGTGCACCTGTCATCTCAGTTATGCCAGACATGAATAGGAGTACTGAGATCTAGGCATCTAGGCTGATCTAGGCAAAAACACAAGACCCTATCTGAAAAATAACTAAAGTTAAAAAAAAAAAAAAAAGTGCTAGAGGAGTGACTCAAGTGGAGCACCTACCTAGCAAGTGCAAAGCCCTGAGTTCAAACCCAAATACCACCAAATAAATAAACAAACAAATAAATAGCGCTACTCTGGAGTTGGCGACAGGATGATCACAGCTTCAGGCCAGCCAAGGCAAAAAAGTCAGCAAGTCTCTGTTTCAAAACCCCAGGCATGGTGACACATAATTGTAATCCCAGCTACTAAGGACACAAAGGTAAGAGGATCATGGTCCGAAGCAGGCCCAGGCAAAAACATATGAGACTCTATCTCAAAAAACACAAAAAGCTCAAGTAGTAGAACATTTGTTTAGCAACTATGAGATCCTAAATTCAAACTCCATAATAATAATTATTTGAAAATTTAATCTTTTATAGCCTACCTGCAGACAAGCAAGAGTTAACTAAAGCTGAAAACAACTGAAGCAAATTCAAAAAACATTATTGTACAACACAAATCCTATATTATTGTAGATAGTTCTAATTTTATTAAAGTAAATTAATCCTGGAAAACAATTTTCAAAATCAATACATCTTCAAAGTAAACAAACTATTAAACACAACAAATTAACATGGGAGCAAAAGGTCACATATTTTATGGTTCCATTTACATGTAATACACAGAAAAGGCAAATATCTAAAGACATAACACAAATTGCTGACTGCCAGAGGCTGGGAGCAGGAAGAAATGAGAAGCAGCTTCTACATGGGTATGGGGCTTCCTTTGAGGGTAATGAAAATGTTTTGAAGCTAGATAGAAACGATGGTTGCACATTTCGACTAATCATAGATGGACTGTTTATTTTAAAATAGTTAATTTTGAAGTTAGGTGTAGGGGTACCACCTGTAATCCCATCACTTGGGATCCTGAGGTAGGCGGATCATGAGTTCAAGACCAGCTTGTGCTATATAGTGAAACCCTATCTCAAAAAAAATTAAATTAAATTAATTTTGTTATGTGAACTCAATAAAAAAATAGTAAACAATATACAACTGTGCAATGCTGAAACAATCAGAAGTATAATACAGATTATCTGATTTGTACATAATTCTTTAAAGGTTAAAATAGGGAGCTCTGCTCATATACTGAATTTTAATGTCCTCTGACTTGACAATGATCTGTTACAAAAAAATTTCTTTAACTAGAAAAGTAAAATAAGCTACTCTAAAGTAGTGTATAACACTTCATACAGCACTAGGGGAAAGCTAGGCATTAGATACCATGTCGAACATGATTTTATTTATACAAAGTAAGTATTAGAGGTTTAACAGCTAACGCCTGGGAATTTTACTTGAACTTCAAAAATTTGAGTTTTTGGGCCAGGGGTGTAGTTAAAGTGATAGAATGCTTTCTAGCATGTGTGAGGCCCTGGGTTCAACCCCCACTACTACAAAACAAATAAGTTAATTAAAAAAATTAAAACTTTATCTTAGGAAATTTCAAGGTAAACAGATTAGAATAATGAACCCCCATGCATCCATCATTACCTTCAACAACTAAATATTTTTACATTCTGCTTTGTCTACCCATTTTTTTATTCTTTTGCAGTACTGGGGACTGAAGTCAGGGGCTCATGTTTCTACTAGGTTCATGTATACATTTACACACTCATTACAAACATACTCCCCCCACCTTTTTTTTTTTACAGTCCTCTTCACAATAAAATTCATATAAATTGAAATATACAGATCATTGGGGTGCAATTATCCCAAATACACTTTTATAAAACATTTCCATCTCCCCTCACTTCCTTTTCCAGAAATTTTCCCATCTAAGTAAGTTTATGGTCACCTACATTCTGTTTTTTTTTTCCTTTTCTTTTAATGTTTTGCCTAGTTTAGAACTACCTGGTTTAGTTTATACCTTTTATGTTTGACTTCTGTGACTAAATATATCTGTGAGATTCAGCCAGGCATGGTGGCACACACTTAATAAGCCCAGCTAGTTGGAAGGTGGAGATCAGGGAAATGCAGTTTGAGGGCAGCTCTGACAAAAAGTTAGTGGACACCCATCCTGACAAACTGGTTGGACATGATGGTTCACATCTGTAATCCTAGCCATGTGGGAGGCTTAGATAGGAGGAACATAGTCTGAGGCTGATCCTAAGCAAAAAATATGAGACCTCTGAAAAACAACTAAAACCAAAAGGGGCTTGCAGTATGGCTCAATTGTTAGAGCACCTCTCTACCAAGAGTAAGGCCCTAAGTTCAAAACCCCAGTAGTGGGGGAAAAAAAAAAAGTATCTGTGAGATTCATATGCATTGCTGCGTTATCAGTAATTTAGTCCTTTTTATAGCTAAGTACTATTCTGCTGTATGAATATGCCACAATTAGTGTATCCATTCCTCTTTTGACAGTCAATTGGGAACAAAAGCCACTGTGAACATCATGATGTCATGTTTTCATTTCTCACTGATAAATAACTAGGAGTGGAGCTGTCAACTCAAAAGGTAGGTATATTAACTTCCTAACTGTTGAACACTTTCCCATTGTTTGTCTTTTTATTATTGAACTATAGGAGTTTTTAATTCAAACTTAGTTTTAAAATTTTTTTTTTATCTGTACTGGGGTTGATCTCAGAGCCTAGTACTTCCAACAGGTGCTCTACCACTTGAGCCACACCCCCAGCACTTTTTACTTTCATTATTTTTTTTTTAGATATTGTCTTGCTTTTATCCCCAGGCCAGCTCAGACCAGGATCCTCCTATTTATGCTGGGATAACAGACATGTACCATTATACTCAACTTGTTTGTTGAGATGAGGTCTCACTAACTTTTTGTCCAAGCTGGCCTCAAACATCAATCCTTTTAATCTCCACCTCCCACATAGCTGGGATTACAGGCATGAGCCACCATGCCTGACTGAAATTTGTTTTTAAAAGGAACAATCTAGGACCTGAGCATAATTTGGCTGCTGGCAAAAGTTAATGTAACACCACATAAGTATACAAGACTGCTAATGCTTAGAGTTCAGCTATTGAGAAACTAAAGAATTCAAGTTAGACTGACTACTTAGAAAATGAACAGCTATGAGTCCAACAAACACTGACAAAATCCACTCAAAACAAGAACCAGTAAAGATTTGTTTTAAAAAGGGTAAAACTAAACAAAAGTAAGCATTTAATGTAAGCTAAAGAAGTAAACCTTGGATATATTTATGTCTTAAATTATTAAATAACATTAAGTTTACTCTCACCTGTTTCATTGCTGTTTCACCTATTTTGTCAGAATGTTTTCGAATGCTTTCCAAAAAGTCTTTGAGATCAGACATGGAGATTTCCTTAATATCTTCACGAAGTTTAGGAAGATTTTCTATCATTAGCTGACAAAAGCGGTACTGACTAACCCGGGGGAAGTACACATTCTCTAATAGCTCCATAGTTTTTAGGGCAGAATAATACCTGTGAGACATTAAAAAAAAATTCTATGAAAGTTCTTATCACATTAAATTTTACAAGTGAATCCAAATCATTAGTCAGTCTAATACTCCTATGAAAATGGTGTAATAGGGGTCAGGGTGGAGTTCAGTGGCAGAGCACTTGCCTACCATGGGTAAGGCCCTGGGTTTGATCGCTAGCACTGCAAAATAAATAAATAAATAAATAAAAGTTGGGGGTAATAACAGTAAGAGTCAAAATGAGTAAAATTAATATTTATTTCTATTTAATAAGCACAGAATATACACTACATACAAGTTGCAGGCTAAAAATTCATGGCTTATACTAACATAAACTTCCTTATTTAACTTCATCTAAATCTGTGACATCAAGAGCATAATCATAGTCATTATAGTATCTTAGTGTATATATAATTTCTGAATTGTAATAGCAATTTGATATATAATTTCATACTATCTCTCTCACCATAATATTAATGACACACTATTACATCAAAAAAATGCAGCACAGATTTAATTCCAAATAATGTAAAGTTTATTTAACTTTTTTTTGAAAAATTTGACACTGGTTTTTAGGGTAATTGGAAATATTAAGTGGAAAACCACTGGTAGTGATTTTTTAATTCAACAAGTATTTTCTGAACGCTTACTATTTATAAAGCACAATGTGAAATGCACAGCTTTGCCCTACAGAAACTTATGTATACTTTCATAAGTAATTTATTTTTTATGTATACTTTCATAAGTAATTTATTTTTCTTTTAGACTTCTATGAGGTATACTTCTATAGCAGACATTACAATTAACATTCTATAGATGAGAAAAATGAACCATGAAGAATATAATTTGGTCAAGATGCCAAAACTAATTGAGACTTTTCAGTTTTCTATAATAACTTTTATCACCATAACCATTTGAGAGCAGGTAATTTTAAAAACTGAACAAATAGTATTCTATACCTTCTTGTTGTATCAGATAATATTAAAAATAGGCCAGGGATGGTGGCCACACACCTGTAATCCCAGCACTCGGGATGTGGAGGAAGGAAAATCATGACTTCAAAACCAGCCTGGGCTACAAACTGAGTTCCAGGCCTGCCTGGGCTACATAAGGAAACTCTGTCTAAAAAATAAATAAACAAACAGAGAAAGGAAAGGAGAAGAGAAGGGAGAAGAGGAAAAGGAGGGAAGAAGGGAGACAGAGAGAGAGTGAGAGAGAAACTTAGATGACAGTATGAGGAGATGATTATGACGATTTTGTAATGCCTAAGATATTAAAAATTTAGATGAAGTAAAACAGTTCAGAGCAATGCAGAACACTGTGACCCACAGTAGTCAAACCACACTATGTGATCCCAGCCTATTTCCTGATTTAATTTGAACTAGGTATAAAAAAGCATTCTTTCTACAACAGGCACAATTTCTGAAAATTCCTGGTGACATGTATAATGTGTTTGAACTCAAGTGATGGATGCTAAATGAAAAGTATTATCATTCTTTCTTTTCTTTCTTTCTTTCTTTTTTTTTTTTCAATATACCACAGGCACAGTCAACTGACTTCATAGCACAACTGTACCTCCTTTCATGTTGCTCACCTCTCACCTTCTATTCTGGGACTTCCATGAATATGACTGAAGTACTTTTTTTACACATATGAAAATAGGATAATGAAACCCATTAAAATTGTTTAAAAAGGAGGAGAAGGGAGATCAAGACAGAAACAGAGATGAATTTCATCAAAGTACATTATATATTCATTATGGAAATATTATAATGAAACCCCTTTGCACAATATACTTCAATTAAAAAGAACAGTTGGCCCCCAAATTTCAGAAATTTCAAGAAGACTATTTGAAATATGGACTTGCATCAACCAAGGATAATATGAGGCCATTATGATTGGCAAGACATTTGAAAATATTATTTTATTTAAAATATTTTAGTTTTGTATTGTTTGTAATATAAAAATGTTGATATAAAGTTTATAATAAAATATCTAAGTTTACGTTAAAAAAAAAAAAAGAAAGAAATCAAAAACCCTTCCTAATAGTATCATACATACATAACCCAGGAATGCAGGGAGTTAATGTCAGGGGTGAACTCAATCAATAAGAAAAGAATACAGAAGATAAATTATCCCTTCCTCTTCTTGGATGGAATGTCCTGCATTTATAATAATTCATACAACCTTTCAAAGGGCATTTGAAATTGATCAATATCAAGCAACAGCTAACTCAATAACTCACCCTCATATTGCTCTCCCAAGTTCCCTGTCTCATTTCCCTTTTCTTCAACTCAGCTTCTGAGCTTCCCTAAGATTATATTCCTAAAAGTAGTAAAACATATGATTATATCTCTGACTCTGTTTTTAAGGAAACCCAAGCTAAGATACACAGAAAGTTTATAATCTTACGCAGAGAGCAGAAGTCTGAGACTAGATCTTGATCTTCTATAAAATTTACCTATAAATCACCTAAGCTTTATCTATTTCTACATGCAAGCCAATTGTGCATTACCAATTTCTCACTTGGTATGCATGCTGCTACTTTTAAAAACTGATGATAGTAATCACAACCATTGGGAAAATAAAACTATAAGGCAAAAAAAAAAACCTCACCCATAATCTGATGCTAACATGCAATAACTGCCTCATTAATGTCTGATCACATTTCCATCTAGTAATGTAAATACATTTCCAATTATGCATGATCATAGCCCTGTTTAACAATATAGAATGGAATTTCTTATAAATAAAAATATTTAAAAACAGATTATTACATCATTTGTAAATCTGCTATTATAATGTAATAATGTCCTTTCTGTGGGAATTTTAAGTCTGATTTTTTATATTTTATAAGTAATAGCACATATGTTAAATCTCTGACAAGATGTCTATCTTTATAAATATGAGACACTTCAAATAACGTTTGTGTGCCAGAAGACCCAGGTCCCTGCACTCCCCATGGCACATCCAAATCCTGTTGATGAGAGATAACAATGTCTCCCTCAGTGCAGTTTCCTGGAGAAGAAACCCAAAACAAGTGCTAAACTCTATGTAAGACTAACTTATACCCACAGGCACTGTCAATCAAGATGCACCTGAGGGAACAACTGAACTTTGAAGAGGAGGTTCAAGGGTGCATCAAACTATTTTAGCAATCTTAGAATAGATGGATCATAAGTACAAAATGAGAACAATAAATATTTTAAGGTGGCCAACGGTGACATAGGTCTAATAATGTAGCCTGACATGCTAGCTTATGCCTGTAATCCCAGCACTAAGGAGGCTAAGGGCAGGAGGATGCAGAGCTAGAGGCCAGCCTGGGCTACATGTTAAGTTACAGATAACAGATATTCCTGCTCTCAGGGCAATTCCAAGCTAATATGGTTGGCTTCTCTGCTCAGGCTCCACCTTTTGCTTTCAACTGTAATAACATGTTTTAAAGGTTTTAGGATAAGCATAGTACATTATATTTACCTAGAAATGAAAAAAATGTCTATGTCATCACTAAATAGAGAACACTTGAGTACTCTTATGGTTCTCTGGCCCATAAGGTACAAATTCTGCCACTGTTCTTACTTCATGTGCCTTCCCTTGGACATTTCTACTTCACCAGTTTGCTCTACCATAGATGTGGTTATTTCAGTCACTACTACGTTTAAATATAATTTTGTGTACTACAGGAAAATTTTACTTATAATTAAAAAACAAAATCAATACAGGGGGGCCTAGATGTTGGAAATAGCAGATAAGAAACTTAAAATAACTATTATAAATGTTATAGAATCTGACAGAAAAGGTAATCAGTATGCATGATATGGAATATTTTAGCAGAAACAAATTATAAAAAACTATCAAATGGAAATGCTTTAACTATCAGAAATGTAGAATTCATTCAAGGGTCTAACAGAAGGCTGGACATGGAAGAAAAAATGGGCCATGGATATAAAGACAAGTAAACAGAAATTATGCAAGCTGAAACACATACACCTGCAAATAACAGGAAAAAGTGGACACAAAGTCAATGATCAGTAGAAACACGTCTGGTAAATTTGAAGACAGTCCAAAATTATCCAATTGAAACACAGAAAAAGAGTGAAAAAGAGTAAAGGAGAAAAATTAATTTGAGACAACACTAAGTAATCAAACATACATATAACTGGAAGTTCCACATAGAGAAGGAAAAAAAGGAGCAGAATAGCAGAAGACACAAAGGTAAAAAAAAATTTCTAAAAACTGATGAAAGACATAAACCTACAGATCCAATACACTAAACAAATTCCAAGTAATGTAATTACAAAGAAACATACCTACTCATATTATAGTCAAACTTAAAACTTGTGTACACATTTCAAAACATACAAAAGCAGGAAAACTATCTCCAACAAACATGTAACTACAATAAATATTAAACAATGTTTATCATACTAAAGGTAATTAATACCAGGCAGAAGCCTGGATCTGCAAAAAGGGAAAAACTAACAAAGGATAAATTAGCAAGTAAAAAGAATCTGCTTTAATTATTACTCATATGTGTGTGTGCGTACTTCTGTATAGTTTATAGCATATGTTACAAGTAAAACCTATGACAATAGAGTTCAACAGTCAGGATTGGGACAAATATAATTGTATTATTATTTCATTAATAGAAGGTAAACTGTGATCAAACATACTATAATTTCTAGAGGAGCCACAAAGAAGCTAAATAAAGAGAGCTAGCTAATAAATAGACGATAAAAATTTAAATTTAAAAATAAAAATATTTTAAAACCTTCAGTACAAAAAAAGAAAGAAAAACAAGTGAGAAGTGGCTGCAACTCTGAGCAGGGGAAGCAGGAACCCAAGACCGACAAGCTCTCGGTAGGCACCATTGCCGGATCACCACCACCAAAGTAATGAAGTGCAAGATCCAGGCCCTGCCTCAGCAAGCCAGTGGTACAGAGGAGAGAGGGCCAAGCACCACCAGCTTGGAGCGGGGGAAGGACCCAGACAGGTCTGAAGCTGAGGTGGCCTCCTTGAACCACAGGATCCAGCTGGTTGAAGAGGAGCCGGGCCATGCTCAGGGCACCTGGCCACTGCACTGCAAGAGCTGGAAAAGCAGAAAAAGCTGCTGCTAAGAGTGAGAGAGATATGAGAGTTATTGAAAACTGGGCCCCAAAAGATGAAGAAAAGATGAAAATCCAACTCAAAGAAGCTGGGCACACTGCAGAGAGGCAGAAGGGAAGTATGAAAAGGTGGCTCGTAAGCTGGTGGTTACTGAAGGAAACTTGAAACCTGCAGAGGAACAGGCTAAGTTGGCAGAATCCCGTTCCTAGAAATGAATGAGCAGATCAGATTGATGGACCAGAACCTGAAGTATCTGAGTGCTACTGAAGAAAAGTACTCTCAAAAACAAGACAAATACAAGAAAGAGATAAAAGATTCTTACTGAGAAACTCAAGAAGGCAGAGACCCATACTGAGACTGCTCAGAGAGAGGTGGCCAAACCAGAAAAGACAACTGATGATGTAGAAAATAAGCTGAAACGCATCAAAGAAGAGTCCCCCTGTATACAAAGGATGGTGGATCAGAGACTCTGCTTGATCTGAAAAAGAAGCAGAGCTCTCCACTTCTGTCCTGTCACTGCTACTCCCTCTAACCCCAACTCTGCCAGAGGGCAGCTGTCCAAAGCTGACCTTGAAACTAAAGGCTGATCTTTAACTGGTCGGTGGCTTTCTCCTTTTGCCATCCATCTAACCTCTGTTCCTCAGATCTTTTTCACAAAACTGTCTCTGCCTCTTCCCTATGAGTCCAGCTAGCGTAGAGGCTGAGTACCTTTGGGAACAAAATTAAAGGGAATGTGAACACAATGCAAAGTGTCTTTAAAAGCATGTCATATTGGGCACAATGGTACAAGCCTATAACCTCAGCTATACAGGAAGCAGAGATAGGAGGATTACCGTCCAAGGCCAGCCCCCAGACAAAAGCACAAGACCCTACCTAAAAAATAAACTAAAACAAAAGGACTGGGTGTGTGGCTCAAGTGGCAAATTGCCTACCTACCAAGCATAAGGCCCTGAGTTCAAAATTCAGCACCATCAAAAAGATACTAATATATCTAGAAAATTACTCTAAATATTTAGAAATATAAGCAATATACTTATAAATATCCTAAGAGTTTTTAAAGATCACATGGAAAACTAGAAAAAACTTTAAGCTGAAAGATAAATAAAAATGTATAAAAAATTGTGAGCAGGCATGGTGATATACATCTGCCAATCCCAGCATTTAGCAGACTGAGACAAAAGGTTCTCAAATTCAAGGCCAGTCTGGGCTACACAGTGAGAACTTGTCTCAAAATGATTTTTGTTTTTTTTTAAATTGTGGAATGCAACTAAATCAGTGCTCCAAGAAAAATTTCTATCAAAAAATCTCTTAGCATTTAAGAACGTTATCAGATTAAAGGACAGGTTAAAACATGGCTCAGGGGCTGGGATGTAGCTCAGTGGCACAGTGCTTGCCTAGCATGCGCGAGGCCCTGGGTTCCATCCCAGCAACAACAAAAAAAAAAAAACAAAAAAGACATAAAACATGGCTCAATGGAAGTAAACAGACCTATACCAAAGTACATCGTAAGGAAATTAAAGAGGACAAACAGAAGGTTCTAAAAGGTAGGTCATCATAACAAGGGATGAGGAATCAGAATGGCTTCAGACTTCAAACTTCCCAATGGCAACTCTGGGAGATGGAGAGCATAAGAGATAGAGAGAAGGAAGAGGGAGGCAGAGAGGAAGAAAGACAGGGAGGGTGTGTGTGTTGAGACCACTTTGCATACAGACCTTTGTTTCTAAATACCATTACTGTCTAAAAGGGGTCCTGGTACCTTGGAGAATGCTTGTTTCTAAGAATGGGGCAAGAAAAGGCACAATGAGAACCAGGAACATCTTATTGTACAATAAGCAATAAAGTACACACAAAAAAATGAGGGCATAGGAACTGGCTTGAGTGGTTTCTCTAGCCAAATCTGTATATCAAATAGAATAATGACAATAATAAGCTATGACATATTTTTTAAAATCTATAAGTTCACAGCAATAATCAGAAGAAAAAAGCAAAGGGGGATAAAAAGGAAAAGCACTTCTTTGTATTAAAAAAGTCAACTAATATTTTTTAAAGCCACTATTTTATAGCTCCAATATAAAAACTGAGCAAGAATCTTAAAACCACTGGGTGAAAGGTTATTAGAAACAGGACTCAAAGTATCACTCCACAGATTATTTATTAATTTCAAGAGAAATATGTACCTTTTCAAGAGAGATTTAACCAAATTAACCAATTTAGCATAGACTACAGCCTCATGACGTTAAATACCTACAGCCTACAAATGTCATATATAGAGAGGTACATATATCACGTACGTCATACCAACTGGTTAACCTGAATCTAATCATGACGAAACAATTAGACAAATGCAAAGTGCTCTAAACTCTAAGAACTGACTGGACTTTTTCACAAAAAACAATGAAAAGCAGGGGACTGTTTGAGGTTAAAAGGGACAAAAAAAAACACATACCAACCCAGGTTTTCAGGGAGGAAAAGAAGATATAAGACATTTGGGGGATAACTGGGAAAATATGAATACAAATATTATATTATTGATAAAAACAGACATGTTGAATCTTTAAAATATGAATATCTATGATATGGAAAAAAGGAAATATATTCATAGTATATACATAAAAGAAAAGACTATCTTTTGGCTTATCTATTTAAAGAAAAAAATCATTCTATTTATTAGTACCAACTGGTAAAGCCTAATAAAGTCAATATGTAGCACTATAAACAGGACATACACAAATCTTTGACTATAAATTTATATACAATGTGTGTGATAATTATTAATAAACCAAGAAAAAAATCATTATTTCCCTAGTCCAAATGTGGTTACTTTAAAATTGTTCATCTTAAAGCATTTTAAGCATCATTATATCTAAAGCTCCTATGGCAACCTATAACCTACTTGAGCTTGTTTCTCATTTGTCATGCATTCGTTTGTGTTATAAAATAGAATATGAATTACACTAGCCCAGATTGCCAAAATAAACTGCCTACACTTTACTTTCACTCCACAGTAGGTACTTAGCCCTTGACTGTATGCAGTGTTAGTATGTTAGTAATTTAACAAAAATTTTCTGAGTCCTGTTGTCTATTTATTCTTTACCAATAGTATCAATTTTTGATATCTTTATAAAGGACAAGGATTCATAATAAATGGCCGTGGTTTGCTTTATTGAATAATTCTGATAAGTAAATTGTTAGTGTGAGGTAGAAAGCAAAATTCACATGATTCATTATATTTTATAGTAAGTTTAGCTATACTTTTGTAATGAAAAAATCTTTTTTAAAAATCTTATTTAAACAATAGGAAATAAATAAACTCACCTTTTTGCATCCATCTGTTCTTTTAGCTTACTGTACATTTCCAGCACTGCATTAAAAAATATTAACTTTTTAGCATTCAAAATAAAAATACTATTTTGAGACATCACAATAGTTAAAGCAGGCAATAATACATTGGAAATTCATTGGTCGTCTCTATACTTCTGAGTTAGGCTGATATTTCCAAATAAATGTTACACGCTTCAAGTAAATGAAACATTTTATATATTGAACATTTTATATTTATTAATATATTATATTGAGCCAGGAACACTTGCATATGTGATATATTTAACTGAGATACTAACCTAGTAAGAATTGCCCTATTCACAAATTACTATTTCTTTTCAAAAGTGGAATTAGAAGTTTGGGCTTTAGTTATCTGAGAGAAAAAACTGAGTGACAGTAAGATTTATTGATTTTGATCAGCATACCAAATAACACAACCATCTTATAATCAACTATACAGAAAATTTATACCAAATCTACAAAGAAAAAATATCAAATGCTAACAGAAAAGATTACATTATGATAAAGGTAGAAATAACTCAGCAAAACATTTCTGTTCATTTCATCCTTTGTACAAAAGTCCAGAAATGCAATTATTGAATAAAATTATCATAAACTTCAGCAAACTGATAGTTATCAAAAAAGCTTTAATGCAACTACATAGATTATCATTTAACCTAAGTAGAATTTCGAATGCTTAAGGTTTGAAAGTAAATCAAATTTTCCCAGACCAGAGCAATGAACAAAATTCTTTTCCAGGTTTTCTACTCCCAAGGGTCTCCAAGTTTTCAGAAGATAGTTTTCACTCATCTGAAAACTATAAAACCTTCAATGGTGGCTAACTCTATAGCTAGCCCTAACTCTAAAGACTTGCAGGACCCTCTGCATATCTCCATCATAGCTCTTATATCATAATGTAATATTTCTTACATTTTCCAACCAAAGCATTAGAGTGAACACATAACCTCGCACAGATCTGATGCTAAAAGCATAAGCTTTCTTTCAAGTCACCTGTTTTAATCTCAATGACTCATGTAAATTTCACATCTACTTTATTGTTTACATATTATTTCCATATAAAATTTGCTCTTCTAAAAACAATCAGGTAAAACTAATATACCAGAAAAATGCATTGTTTATGCTGTTAATTCTTATATCCCCTCCTACTCCTCTGAATCCAAGGAAGAGTTAGGCAATTCTGTAATTGATGACTTATTTATCTTTATTCACATTAGCCTTCAAAAGCTGGGACTATATCATTTTCAACTTTATAGTTCCAATACCTACCAGAATGCCTGACACACACAAAACTTTATGAGTAAATAATAAGACAAAAGGATGGACAGAGAAAAGGATGTGACAACACAAAATATTTACATGAACTCAGAGTTGTTGTGGGGTTTTGAAGTCAAAGACAGTAACAATAACAAAAATGTAACATCTACTTCTCTCTGTTTCAAATAGCCCACTAAGGGAATAGTCTGAATTCAATTCTTTGTCACTTCATCAGTACACAAAATAATAAAGCACAAAGCACTCAAATTTAGAGGTTGTTTTCATGACTGTTACAATCTGATGGTGACAGAGATATTTTTAAACATCATTATAAGGAAGTAGGTTTCTTAACCCTGAAACCTAAAACAATAAGCAAATATTTTATTTATTCAAAGTTAAAAACTAAGTAGACTTTCATTGACTCTAAAAAAGGAAAGTTATTGTCATAAGTGAGAAAACAATATAATTTCTTAGCTGATACAATCTGCAGGTAGTTTTAACAATTTGTATTCTAACTAATCTAAATTTATAACACATAAATATTGCAAAAATCATCCTATTTCTCTGGATATAGGAGTTTAGGTTCCTTCCTTCTAAAAAAACTAAGTTAAACTGGACACTGAGATGGATTTAGCTTATAATTTTAAGGGGAAAATAATATATACCTCCTTCCATTTGAAAAAGATGCATCCAACTTATATTAAGTCCAGGTAAGGAAAATATTAGTTAGCTTCTTCACAATTTATATGATGTCTCATATAAGTCTTTCCAAACCGTAAGAGGAAAAAAAAGAACAGAAAAGACCTAGCACTTTGATGTTTTCTTACCTTATCAGCAAAATGACATTGTGAGCAAAGCAAAACCAACCTGTTAAGTGACAAACAGAAAACAATGGAAAACTAGAGGTAAAAAAAATTAGGCAAATTAGGCAAAAGCGAGAAAATGTAAATCAAAAGACACTCTTGCCATAGGAAAGTATTCTGAGGAAAAAAAAAATGTGGGGGGAGTAGAGGAGCAGCCAAGCAGGGAGCTACAAATGGCAAACCAGGCAGAGAGGAAATGGAAAGTCAGAGGTTGTTCTAGGAAACTGATGTGACAGGTAATCAAAGAGGGGCTTTATAAAATAACAAATTCATGGAAATTCAGGGAATAGTGGGAACAGGAAAGGCAATCATAGGCTTTGTTGGGAAGCAATCACCAAATAATCTGTAATTCCCATAATAAAGAATGACTATATGGTATTATTAAATTACAATTTGAAACAAACATCATAAAAGGTAGATAAGTTTAACTCACCTGGAAGGCATAACTGCAATTTTTCTACTACAGTTATAATATTCCTCTGCTGAATTCTACATCGGATAATATCTTCTGTTTGGATTATTATCTTAGGAAAGAAAAATATGTTCATAATTTTAAATAAACAATTAAATAGCATACACATATTGAGTACACACACACACACACAAACAAAAAAAAATCTGTCATTTTCTTACCTCTTTTCCAGCATCTTGAAACCTTCGGTTGGTATCAGTAACTTGCACCTTAAAAATAATTTCACCTTAGTTAGACAAACATGCATAAAACTGCCCTGATGTAACTGCTCACCCTTGTAATCAGATCATGCTTCATGAGAAACTTAGAACAAAGAAATGCAAATTCAAATTAACTCTACAGCTTGAACTTGAACTTTTGATTGAAAAGGGCTTTTGTTAACTTCAATTACTTATGACAGTTCTTTTTAACAGATTCTGTGGCAAACTTCTCAAATTTACTCAGGATTTTTGAACTTTACTTGCTTCTCTAAGTCTGTCAAACAATTCAAATCAGTGACCCAATTGACCATTGGTCCCTTTTTGATAACTTAATGAGGTCTATGTGCCATTTATTGTCTGTAGGAAATGGTGATTACATTTTATGGTAATTAATCATTCATACATTGCTGAATGCAAACACTGGGTGGTTGATTAACATCAAACACAGAAATCTCAATCCATAGCAACATTTTAATGCTGCAGGTGCAGGCAAAGCTCAACCTCAAATTTTCCCACATATTAAGTGACTCATTAGGTCATCACAGTAAGGAAGCACATTCTGGGTTATTAAAAATCTCATTAATTTCTGAACAAAGATGCTCAGTGACCTCATTGATGCTGTATTTGGTCTCTTGTTATCTGAATATCCTTTCTATAATGATTTTCTAATCATAACCTTTGGATTCTGTCTACTAAGCACTTTAAATGTAAAGAAAGACAAATAGGACAATTCTTAACAATTAAATATTTTATATTTGAACTGAACAAATCTAGGTCTTAATAAATAATGTTTTTGCTTCATGGCAGAAAATGTACACCAACTATCTTGAAGAAAATTATGCACTGATGTTCAACTTCTTAACACTTTTAAGAAAAGTAATTTTGAAAACAAAATCATTTTACAGTAAATTTTTAAATGATCTTGAAGATAGCTTTTCATTAATATTGTACGGTTAATGAAAAAAAAACTCCTAAACTACAAATTTGGACTTTCATTATATACATTCCATGCAGAGAAAGGAATATCCTATTAAGTCAATGCATTATTTGCTTTAGAAAAGAGATTACTGCTGTCATTAGCATGACAATTATGCTAATAGAGCATAAAGAGCATTCCCAAAAACATACACTAACTTACATTTTAAAAGCACATTTAATAATGACTTACATAGGTACTATAATAGTTGTATAATTTAATAAGAATAAAGGCAAGCAGAATTTAATACTTTTCCTACCTTCAGTTTTTCTGCATCGGTCCTCACTTTAAGGAGTTCTGTAATAGCATCTACAAAACCCTGATGATGAAAATTACACATCTTTTCAATTTCCTTGTCATGATTACGAATGCACGCATCTAACTTTTCCATAAACTTCTTGTGTGCATTTGGTTGGTCATCATACACAGACCTGTATGCATATAAGAACACTAAATTTAACTTTTCTGCTTACCAAAAGTTTTTCTTCATTAAGTTCATTCTTTGCAACAACTGAAGATTTAATCTCCAAATAAATAAATGAGTCGGACGGTACTGCCTTTAGTAAAAACAATTTAGGTGAAAATATCATTTCTTTTTTTTTTTAGAAGTGTTAAGTATTCTTTATTTGATATACATATAAACCACACTAAAATGCCTTTCAATAAGTAAAAGGCAGGATTTTAAATACAGGGAATTCTGTTTAAATTGGCATAGTCAAGAATAAAAATACAGACACTGCTTCTTTATCTTCAACCATTGCCTTTAGCAGATTAACTAAAACATAGACAAGTCTTACTTGGTTTTGAGACAGTGAGATTTTCTCAGTATTTAAACATATTCACATAACAAGTTATGTAAACCTAAATATAAAACCAATGTTTGCTAGGTTTTGAGATGGTGTTCTCCATCTTTGTGAAAAGTTGAACATCACTAATTAAGTTCAATCATATCTTTAGAAAGGGAAAACAGTGACAGTTATTTACTTAACTGAAATTATTACTTTAAAAGAAGACCGTATTCACTGAATGACAAGTCAATTTCACTTAAATCAGGTCTGTAAAAAAAATATTGTGTAAGCCATTCATGATCTGAATTCTGATGTTATGAGATCAATTAAATTGATAAAAAAGCTATGAAATGTTTCTGCTTTGTAATAAATAAGGCAGTAGCTATTACTTGTTATACTTTTTTTGAGATAAGCTATCCAGTCTGTGCTTTCTCCCTTCCTCTTAATGCCAATGAAGATAATTTTTGTTCCAGGATATACTTTTTGGGAGTCTCCAAATACTCCTTCCATCAGTGTATCCTCTCTCCAAGTGATGCCTTTGTTCTTATTGGCATCTGTGTAAGAGAATCCGGCAGCTTGACCTGTCTTCTGCCCAAACAGACCACAGAGTTTTAGCCCAGTCTTGTGCTTGCCATCCTTTTCCACGATGTGACACTGGGCATACTTCTGAACAAAACTCTTCTTGAGTTTCTCAACATCACTCATGCACCCTTTCGTTGCTATCACAACGAAGGAACCTACTTAGAAACTGGACATCCCAGTCTCTAGCCCAAACACAGGCTTGTCATTTCTTTTAACACGTTAATATTTAAAGACTGTCTAGGAGCGGGGCCTGTGCTGCATACCCAATCAGGGCAATACCTTTACCTACTAAGTGTGTTCTAGGAAACTAGCAGCTACCATCAGGCTGCAAGACTGGCCCATTCAACCTCAACAGTGACCTGGCCAATTTAGGGGCCAGGTGTCTAGGATGCCAAACTTTGGGGCCTACTATCTGCACCTAGATGAATTTTGTTCCAAATGTCATCTTTAGTCACCTTACAGACGAAAGTCACCTAGAGCAGCTTTGACATGCAGGTAAGGTATCCGGGCCAGTGGCCATAGCAGGAGCCAATAAATGTATTTTTCATCTTGAGGCTACTGAGAACCCAGGGGCTTTGATTAAAAAAATTCGGGAGAATGAGATGAAAGTTGGCCTTGCCATCAAACTAGGAACTACAGCTGAGTATTTGGCACAATGAACTAATCAAATAGATACTACGGCCTTGTTATGGCAGTGGAACATGGGTTTGAAGGGCAGAAATTCATGGAAGATATGATGCCAAAGGTTCACTGGCTGAGGACCCAGTCCCCATCTTTGGATATAGAGGTCAATGGTGAAATAGTTCCTAACACTGTCCACAAATGTGCAGAGGCACATGATATGATTGTGTCTGGCAGTGCCATTATGAAAAGTGAAGACATCAAATCTGTGATCAACTTATTAAGAAATGTTTGCTCAGAAGCTACTCTGAAATGGTCTCTTGATGGACAAAACCTCAGGAACTCAGTGCTTTTGCTCACAAAACCTTTTATTTCTGGAAAACAGGGACACTGAGTATCAAGTCATATTGCAATTGAGGCAGTGCTGCTTTTCTGAGCAATTCTTCATTCCAGTCTATTGTGCAGAATGTCTAAGAGGTTAGAAACTGGTGTGTATAGCTACACTTTCAGTGATGCAACTATGGATTAGTATGATGAAATACTGTGTTTTTACTGAGAGAATCAATTTTTGTAAAGAGTAAAAATATGGCTGTATTAAGGTTACAAACAGAAATATATCTTAATGTCTAAGGAGGGAATATTAGCAACTACAAAAAAAAAAAAAACCTTTTCTGTATTTTTAAAAAGAATGTTCTGTGTTCCCAAGCTATTTTCCAAAAGCAAAGGAAGCCTTTATGTTTTTCCTGTTTCATGTCATTTGTGATTCGTTGATATGCTTAATATGAGTAGAGTAGAACTAAAAAAATAAAATCTTCAGTGGGATGGCATAAATAGTTTTGTATCTGAACAAAGTTTTTTTCACTTTTTACCTTACATTTGATTCATTAGCAACTATAAAAACAAAAATAACCGCTGGGCACTGGTGGCTCACACCTGTCATCTTAGCTACTCAGGAGGCAGAGATCAGGAAGATAGTGATCTGAAGCCAGCCTGGGCAAATAGTTCCATGAGACCCTATCTTGAAAAACCCTTCAGAAAAAAAGTAGGGCTGTTGAAGTGGCTCAAAGTGAAGGCCCCTGAGTTCAAGCCCCAATACATCAATAAATAAATAAATAACAAAAAGACAGAAACCCTCTACATATATCACTAGGTATCTGGAAATAAAGGTATGAGGTTCACAAGATGTAGACCAAATATAAATCTTTAACATACTAAAACTCAAAAAAGAATCACTGAGTGAATGAATGGTTAAAGAACATATGAAGAAATTCATGATTTCTAGTAGCATTTACAACATCAGAACATTCTAAGTAATTTATACTGTTTAATCCTCACAACAAGCCTATAAAGTAGGTATTATTATTATTATCCTTGTTTTATGAATGAGCTACAGATTATGTAAGTGCCTTAAGTTCCACAATTTGAGAGTGATAACTGGAATATGAATCCTGGCAGTTTGACTCCAGAGTTCATACTCTCAAGTACAAGGTCATATTGTAGCTACCATAATGTTCTCCAAAAATGACACACACATGCCTACTATATCTCAGATCCTACTATTTCCACCTAGAGGACACCCCCTCCCCCACTCACTACATAGTAAAAGGCTAACCCTGCTCCCTGGTTCCTGGAGTGCAGCCTTTGAAATCTCCTGCCTGACAAATATCTTTGATAACTTAATAGTTTGATTGGGGGGGAGGGTTGGGTGGGAGCTTTTAGCTTTCCAGAGGCTGAAAACTAAGATCATCAAGACAGACACTCAGCCATGTGTACATGAGCAGGTAGTCCAATCTAAATATCATATCCTAATAAAAACTCTGGCTATCAAGGCTTGACTGAAGCTTCCCTAATGGAGAATTTGTTTGAAGTGTTGACATGCTTCATTGCTAGGAGAAGTGCTTACTGCACAATGCCACTAGAAAACTGAAAGCTCATAACTTAGAACTCTAGTATACCCTGCCCCGGTGTGCCTTATCCATTGTTAGTTTTTATCTGTATTCTTCGCTGTAACAGACAGTAGCTATGAGAATAATGGCTCTGCCATATCAGAATATGCCATATCAGTCATTCTCACAAATTTTGAACCTAAATGTGGTCCTGGAGACCTCCCAAAATACACTCTACCCTATCTGTTGCCCATTGTTTGAGGTTCAAACAATGGGCTCTATTTTTTCCAACAGACCTTTGCCAACCATTTCTATGCCAAGTATATCTTCTCATCTTCAGGATAGGTAAATTTATAGCTCTTTACAGTTACAGTTGACATATAATCATATATTACTTTGTATTATAATTTAAGTGTTTTGTGGGTACATCATATATTTTGTTTTCCCAAATATACCATAAGCTTTTTGAGGGCAGCATCCATGTTTTTGTTCTTAATGACTACTTACTATAATACTAGAGATGGTAACATAGGGTTGCAATTATGAAGAACTTGGGCTCTTCAAAAGCTCAGCTAGAATGAGACTCTGATCTTGGACATCTTTCTATGTATGCTACTCTCTTGATCTTGACTTGTAGCTTTAAAATCCATACACACACACACACACACACACACACACACACACTCCCTTCTCTGCTTTATATTTATTTTTTACTTTCTAAAATAAAAATTTTTTACTGTATTATGCTTACCACTGTAGAATAAATATACTCTTTTATGTATTTGTCTGTCTTCCCCCACTGGAAAGAATATAAAACACATAAGGTCACAAAATTTTCATAGTTTGTTCCCTGTTCAATCTCTAGGCCATAACAACAGAGAATATTTGTCTGGTTTGTTCCCTGTTGTATCCCTAGCTCTAGAACAATATCTATGATACAGCAGATGCTTAATAAATAATTGATGATGAATGGATGAAATCAGAAAGGGAACTTACTAGCTATTCACACCTGACCTTTTTTATTTTTTTTACTGTTGTGCTGGGTGGGGGTATTGTGGCATTTACCAAAGTTCTTACAATACATCAAATATATCATATTGAATTCACCCCCTCCACCATTCTCCTTTATTCCCCCTCCCCCAATTCCTGGAACAGTTTCAACAGGTATCATTTTTCCATTTATATAAATGTGTACACAGTATTTGCACCATATTCACCCTCCCATGCTCTTTCCACTCCTCCTCCCCCCTCCCACTGGTAACAACCTACCCCCAGGCAGGATCTGTTCTACCCTCCTGTTCTCTAATTTTAACTGACTTCTTTAAATATTAACTTTCTCAACCATATAATGGCAATAAAAATAGTACCTACAGTAATGAACAATTGGAATTTGAAGTTAAAAATCACAATATGGGACATTAGATCAAGGGCAAATACAACAAGGGGATTGGACTTTGAGCACATGATAAAAGCGAGAGCACACAAGGGAGGGGTGAGGATAGGTAAGACACCAAAAAATTAGCTAGCATTTGTTGCCCTTAATGCAGAGAAACTAAAGCAGATACCTTAAAAGCAACTGAGGCCAATAGGAAAAGGGGACCAGGAATTAGAGAAAAGGTTAGATCAAAAAGAATTAACCTACAAGGTAACACACACACACAGGAAATCAATGTGAGTCAACTCCCTGTATAGCTATCCTTATCTCAACCAGCAAAAACCCTTGTTCCTTCCTATTATTGCTTATACTCTCTCTACAACAAAATTAGAGATAAGGGCAAAATAGTTTCTGCCGGGTATTGGGGGGGGAGGGGGCGGAGTGGGTGGTAAGGGAGGGGGTGGGGGCAGGGGGGAAAAATGACCCAAGCCTTGTATGCACATATGAATAATAAAACAATAAAAAAGTTTAAAAAATTAAAAAAAGAATATCACTGGGCTAGGGATATAGCTCAGTGGTAAAGCACTTGCCAAGCATGTTCAAAGCCCCAGGTTCAATCAGCAACACCAAAAAAAAAAAAAAAAATTAAACTAGCATCACCCAAAATGAAATACTTAGATATAAATCATTTTAAAAGTACAAAATCTACAAAACTCTGATGAAAAGAATCAAATAACTAAATAAATGAAGAGATATTGCATGTTTGCAAATAGGAAAAAACATTGCAATGATGTCAGTTCTTCCCAACTTGATCTATACATTCAATGCAATTCAAACCAAATCCCAGCAAGTTATTCTATAGATATCAACAAAGTGATCCTTAATATTCTATAAAGAGGGAAAAGCTCTATAATAGCAACATAACAACAAAGAAAAACAAAGTTGGAGTACTGACAACTCAAGATTTACTATAAAGCTATTGTAAGCAAGGCAGTATATAGTGAAATGACAGGCAATAGATCAATAGACAGCCCAGAAATATACCCACATTAATATTGTCAACTGCATTTCTTTGTTTTGTTTGTTGTTTTTTTGTGGTACTGGGGTTTGAACTCAGGACCTAACGCATGCTAGATAGGTGATCTACCACTTAAGCCATTCCGCCAGCCCTTTTGCATGTTAGATATTTTTCAAGATAGGGTCTCTCAAACTATTTGCCCGGGCTGGCTTCAAACTGTGATCCTCCTGATCTCTGCCTCCTGAGTAACTAGGATTACAGGTGTGAGCCACCAGCGCCTGGCTATGTTTTTGTTTTGTTTGTTTGTTTCCATGTTAGGAATCAAACCCAGAGCCTCATGCATATTAACCAAATGCTCTATCACTTGGCTATACTGCCAGTCCAAGCTAACTGAATTTTGACAAAGGACCAAAACACAACACAATGAGAAAAGACAGTCTTTTCAACAAATGATGCTAGAATAATTAGAAATCTACATACAAAAAAATAATGAAATTTTTATAAAAATTAACTCAAAATGGTTCCCTGACCTAAAAGTAAATTACCAAACTGAAAAAAAAAACAAAAAACTCCTGGACGATAACATAGGTGAAAATCTAGATGACCTTGGGTTTGGTGATGACATACATCAAAGGTAACAAAACAAATTTAGGAGCTGGAGAGAGAATTCAGTAGTAGAGTGCC